TGCCCGTGTGCTGGGCCTGCAGCTCCTGGCCAGGGGAGGGGCTTGGCAGGGATCAGAGGGCAGAGGTGTGCTTTTAAGATGGGTGTCAAATGCTTTCAGCTGCCTCTGGCCTCAGCATGGTTGCCAAGTGCTGGCAGCTATGTCACCAGAGTCTGGAGCTCCACACAGTGACCACAGGGACATACGACAGGCTGCTCTGATTTGGGACTAAATCTAAACATAGCCAATCATTTCATCCCTCTGATTCAGCCAGTTAGTCCCATTTGAGCTCATAACAAAACTATTACTATGTTGGGTTAGAAAAACACCTCACAGTGATAGAAAACAAAAGAAACTTCATGTGAGCAAACTCAAGGCCATAAGCTGCTTGCGACAGGCAAAATCAGCTGCTCTTGCAGACACTAGTAAAATGAAAAATTCAGATAATAATGAAGCTATACAAAACTTAAACAATGATTAAATAAAGCTAAATATAAAAGAAAACTTTTAACAATACTGTAATTCACCACTTTATAAATAAGTGCAACTTTAAAGCATAAAATATGGCAAGCTACTGTAATAGGACACTTTCCTGGAAAGTGGACATGTCAGTGTAAATTATCGTAAATTAAACTCAAATTTCCTATATAATTTGTATATGCTCTAACCACCGGGATGTTATACAAAGGTGAGTGGCATCACCAATATTCTGGCCACATTTCAAAATAAAGTAACCACAGCTGCATTTTCAAATGGCCCAAACCTGTAGTGAATTTAAGTATTTTCTAATCCAGTATTTCATACTGGATTAGGCCCCTCAGAGAATTTATAAATTCCTCTATCTAATTTCCAGGTCTCAGTTGCCTTCAGCAGGAGAGAGATGCCTTGCTTTCTTGGATTGGAGCATTTATACACATGCACAGAACCAGAGCTCCAGGAGCTGGAGCCAATTAAGGTCCCCCACCTGAGACCAGCATTGGAGCCCACATCCTCTGAACAACAGCAACTCCTGGGAGCCTCCTAGGCCAATAGGAACCATCCAGGACCTGCATTCCCACACACTCACTGTAGTGGGAACCACTAGAAGTCTTGGATTTATCCAGGACCTCTGTATGCCCACACACTCACCCATACTTCCTCCATCATGGCCTCTCAGTCTGATAAGTACAGTGCCTTAAACAAATGAGACAGCAACTGGACCCAGGAGAAGGTAATGGATATCATTGCTATCTGGGGTGAGATTGAGAATCAGTGGGCACTCCATTCAAGCCACCAAAACAAGATGCTTTATCATCAGATCACCATGAAAATAGAAGCCTGGGTTCATGACTGTGACTGGACCCAGTGCCTTTCAGTTGTAAGTTAATGACACTGGACAGCAACTGCATGTAGGGTACATGTAAGGTAACATGCCCCTACCATGAGGTACTCTTCTGCATCTCTGCGGTCAATGACATGGTCAGGTTTAAAGACAGTGGACATGGCAGCCCATGCCAATGCCCAGCAGTGTGCCATGAGCTCTGATGCTACTGTGGTCAAAGACATGCAGCCCTTTTAGCCCAGTATAGAAACCTGAGAGATAAGCCAGATAGGGGATACCCAGTCCATCCTTCCACAGTTAGCCATAAACTCTGAAGTAGATCTGGGTTCAAAAAATGAAGGTCTGGAGCTTCCTGATGCCTCCTCGCCCCATGTTTCCAGCCCTTTCCCATCATGGACGCTGTGTCCCAAAAGTTAATATAATTTTGTTCTAGTGTGGCTTATTTTTCAAATAAGGAATTTGGATATTAGCAGAATCTATCTATTGAGCAAATGCATTTTTTCCAAGCCAACTAACAGCTGCTTCATTGATGTTCAATGTTATCAAGAAACAGTTAGGTGTTGATTGAAGGCACTAATCAATATTATATATCATTTGTAGCTGTCTTCAATTACAAAATTAATTATTACATTGAACCCATTTGTAAAGTCTGGTGCATGCTGACATAGGTCACTGAATGTCCAGTAACAATGTTATGTCAGCCTTGTTGCACATCCCATACTTCTGATGTTTCATGGCACATTCAAGAAGAGAAACAAGAATACTCAATAGTGCATATATGAAAAGAGGATGAATTTATGTTGCTTTTGACATCTGAAAGCCCAAGTTGTGCACTGGGTTCTACCTATTTCTGGGTTCCCTTACTTCCTCCCTTTCTAAGTGGCTTCATGTATGCTTTCAGTGTAAGCACTTTGGGAAAAGGGATGGATCTGTATTTCATATTGGTACCTCTAGGCATTTCTAAAATATTAATAATATAGAGAAAACCCAGGGCCTTTTAACTTGTATTTCCTGAGTTTTGTGATTTACATGGTGTTACAGTTTTCTTAAATGTATACCCTTTTACTATATTCTTGCCCAAGACATTTAAAAATAGAAATAACAAGGAAAAGGAATAAAAAGTGAATAATTCAGTCTGAAAAGCTCAAAAACTCTGCAGTTATAAACACACTAATGTAAAATGTAACCACCTATATTTAAATGTGCACCTATATATATAAGAACACTTGTATATTGAGTATGAATAGAGAGAAGCTCAGACTAAACCTCTAGATTTAAGCATAACTTTTATTTAGTTTTCTGATGTAACTGAAATTCAGTTAAGTCTTAGGAAGAGCTAATATCTAGTGCCCAATCACGCAAACTTCTATAGAGTATGTGTGTGATTTTGAAAGAGAGGTGCAGATGGTGAGGTACATCATCACATATAAAACAACATATTTTTCTCCAGTTAAAAAAAAAACAAAAACCCAGGAGCTTTAGTAATACGCTAGGGGTCTAGAGCTATATTACTCAGTTTAAGACTGAAGCAAAAACAAAAATACAACTTTGCTGGAATGAGTTAAAAACAGTCTGCAGGGCTATGAAACAGGAGCTTCATTACCAGGAACAGCTAAGAACAGAACTGAAAAACAAAGGATGGGTTGACTAATGGAACATTAAGACCACTAAAAAGAAGAGAGGGCTGTTAATATCTGTAGAATTAATAGCTTAGACGGGATCAGGTAGATTATAACACACTATGAAGACAATTGACTCCCTTAGCAGTGCCTGTCTACAAATACTGCTGCCATTGCCAGGCAGTTGGTTTTAAATTTTGGATGGAGCAGGAATCAAAGGGGAGGGGGGATGAGGAAGGGGTTCAAATGTACCAATGCACCCCTCTCCCCCTCCCCCACCAACCAAGATCTGCCCCAGAGTATGTGCCTCACACAGCCTAGCTATGCTCCTAAACAGCAGTAGTGGCTATAATTGGTATTCAGAATTTTTGGCATAAAGAGATTTCAGAGAGCACTGTAATAACAGGGACCATATCTGAACATTTTCTAGGGAAAAATTATTTTTTAAAAAGCTACCTTTTCTTTCAGGTTTGGTACTTACTTCTCATTCAACTAATTGATACCTGCCCCATATTCACTAGAGCAGGTGAAGCATGGCTAGAATGAAAATATTCCACCTTGGTGAGTGCCTATGTTTCCAGTCTACTTAAAATTATTTCTAGTTACCTTAACAGAAATGTACTTCCTTTATTTTAGTGAGCCTTTTTTTTTCCCCTTGAAATGTTCAGTAACTAAAAGCAACTTGTTTTCACTGGGTGTCAAAAAGCTTTCCGTTGTTGGTTTATTAGTTAAATAAAGCTCTCAGCTCTTTGATGACTGATTGTAATGGCAGTTCAGTCTGAACATCACTGAACATAGTGACTCCAAAGAAAGTGACAAGTATGTCAACTTTTTTTCTTCTCATCACTTTAAAAGTGCTCCATTGATAGAAAATGAAGAAATGTGGTACTCATGGTTTTCAGCATCATTCCTGGTGATAATGAAGTTCGTATATACATGGCCATATTTTTATAGTCCTGATTAGGATACCTTTAAAACCTGATCCAACATATATACTAAAAAACGAACAGATTTCTCAAGATAAAAGAACTACCCATAGTACAGATTACAAAAATGTCCACATAAAGTATTACTTAAGGTGCCAGTTCTGAAGTTCAGTGTCTGTCTCCTTGCATCTATGTGATTGCCCATCAGTGGAATAACTAGAGTAGGGCAACTAGGGCAGCTACCCTGGGAGCTAATTTGAAAGGGGATTTGGACTGGAAAAAAATGGCTGCTCCCACAGCTGTGCAATCATGCCAATGGTACATCGGCAACCAGAAGCTGCTTGTGTGTGTGGCATCTACCCCAGGTACCTGACTGTGTCATTAAGCCTTGGAATCTCATTATTTCAATGGAGCTCTATTGGCATGCAGGCCAGATTTAGGGCCTCAGCAATCAAACGAACCAGACAAATTTGGGTCAACCTTGTTAGCTCCCCAGTTCAGAACTCCAGGAGATAGAAGAAAGAGGGAATTATCTTTAGTCAGAGGCAACTAGTAGCGGGGGCATGGGGGAGCATGTGCTCCCCCTAATGGGGCTAGTGCCCCCCCTACGGCTCACACTGACGCTGTCAGTAGGGCTGGTGCCCCCCCTGACAGGGTCAGCAATTCTGCGGGTGCCCCACCAGATTCAGGAAGCATCAGTCACTCATGGCTTTAGTTATTATCTGGTAAGGTAATTACAGATAATACAATTTACCCAGAGTTAAAAGGTGGCAGGGCAGAGAGGTCCACTTCTCCTCAGTAATTTCCTGTTTCCACATTTTATCCTGTGGTAGGCAGCAGCTAATCCAATGTAGTTTAGTGTGATGTGAAAGTGGAGTAAGCACTCATGGTTTAGCTTCTATTTGTCACTAAGTAGGATATGAGAGTGTCCAGACAGGCAATTACTATGGAACAACTGACACTCAGTAAAGCCCCTTCCTCTACTGTCCAACAGTAAATGCTTCATACACATAACCAATGTGGGTTATTTCAGATATCTCTATGAAACTGAAAATGAATGAATGAATGAATAAATATTTTAGCTCCCCCCACCTTTGTGTTTAAATATAGTGGATATTTTTTAATCAATACCCATCCACAAATAATGAATGCAGTTTTTATCCATTATATTTTTTTCACTTTTTAAAGTATTTTTTCTCCTACATTGTTTTTAATTGGGACTCTTTCCAAAGCATGTGTCCCTTCGTACAGAATCTTGATTTCTCCCTTTGGGATTAATTACATGCAAACTCTGCTACTTATGAATCCTTGTAGATTTTAACTAGTAGAGCAGTTATTAATAACTGAAAATAGAATGTAATTCTATAAGATGTACAATCAGCCCTGTAGTCTAGGTTTTCTTGTGGCCAAGTATAGATGTTTTTTAGTTGTTTTATTTAAAATAGAAAAGACCTTTCAAATTATTTGAACCTGTCAGATTACTCAGCCTCCTTTCTTTTATTCTTTCCTATTGTTTACCTGATTCGTATCTATTTTCAAATTTGTTTTTAGTCTTGTTATGTCTATCCGAGCCTTTGTGCAGTACCTAACAATGGAATTCTAGTCCTAAATGTATTGTAGCAGCATTCAAAAACCCTGCATTCCAAAGTTACACCCCAAAGTTAAGTGCATCTGTCTTTTTCCACTGTTCATTTTCAGAGCTGGTCAAAAAAGATCCAATTGATCAATATTTCAATGTACTATGCTGGTTTGATCCCAAAACAATTCCTTCAAAACATGTTTGGATCAGTGAACTTCATGCAATTCAAGGAATCTTGAAGGATGCTCTGAAGTCAAGGAATCTAAAAACACCAGGTCCTTGGCCTTGAAACCATCTGGCCTGTAGAACAGCACTGAGGATGAGTCAGGATTAAATGCATGGGTGAAGTTCCAGGTCTAGAACTTATCAGAAGACACAGAGAGGCAGGTGTGCTCAGCCCTGTGTCCCCCAGGAGCTGCCACTAACAAATCCAACACATGGGTAAAATGACTTGCCCTAGGAAATGCAGTTTGAAATGAAAAAGTGGCCTAACTTTTGCTTTAGCCACTATTCTTTTAGAATCAATGTAGAACTGTGCATTTGGATTTGGGGTATGAAAAGAAGAAAATATACATCATAACCTGAATTAGGTGGGAAAGCCAGAAAATTTCATTTGGGGTTATAATAACTCACAAAGCCATTTTTCCCACTCTCTTATATCCACATAAACCTAGAGTAATAACACTGACTTGAGGTGTGAAAGTTCTTGCATATAACTAGTGGAAAAGAATAGGCTAAATCTGTCCACATTAGATATTCTATTTTCCCCTGCCTTCCAGAGCTGACATTTGAGTATTTCTGATTTTAAAATAAAACTGGGCTTGTTTTTCTTTAGTTTTGACAATTTGGAGAAAATATTTATGAAACTACAGCAGAAGTATCTCAATGGGCAGGAGAGAACTGCCCACCCGATCTTACAATTTTTAATATATTTTTCTTTGTGTTTAGTTTCTTTGTTATCTCAATAATGCAGCATGAATTATATTATAAGGAATATTCAGTGTTTTCCTTATAACATTGGATAAATTCTTAGTAGAAAAACTGCATGGCTACAGTGACATTGTCATATAATTTTCATGATATTGTTGGATTCATATTATTAAGGAACATGTTCATTGTAAAATGAAATAACTAAAGAAAGCTGTGTCAGCCTCCTACACAAAAAGAGCATATAGGATATGCGTGTTTTCAAGTCCTATCAGAAAAGAAAACATGCTAAAGTGGAACCATACATTTTAATTGTATATTGAATTAATTTTCTCTGACAGAAAAATCTATAACTAGAGTGGACACTTCCTCACTGAATTTTCAATTCCTTCTTTTGTCCAAGAAATAAATTCCCTAAATTTCTAAAGTGAGATCTTTGAGAAGATAGTTTAATATATCTTGACAGCAATTCAATTGCTATATCTGAAAGGCCTGTTGTTTGAAATTATTTCCTGGTACATGACAAGAGATTAATTTTGAATTTATTTTAGAGGAAAACATTCAGACCTATCTCAGGACCTGAACCTCCTTTCATACTGTACTTTCTCCATAATTGTGGATAGTCAATCAACAATTTAAT